TGCTGACGTTCTGAAGACCCGCCCCCACCTTGGTCCCCCCCGACTGCTTGTTGGGTGCACGGTCCGTTTGGGGGAGAGGAGAGGCTGGCCCCACATCACGAGACTCCTTCTGGAAGGCATGGTTTGCGCTGACGTCTTCACGTGCTTTCTAATTGGCCTGATAGACTCTGCTTTTCCTTTTGCAGCCATGAAATTTCCTTGTGTGCGTAGTTCAAGAATATAACTAGTGTAAAGAAATAATAAATAGTAAAATCTATGAGCTAGTAAAACAGGCGCTAAAAAGGGCAGAGTACTAGTCTATTTCATCTTACATATATTTTCTCACGAAAAACCTATATAAGACGGAAAACTGCGAGTCGAAGCAGCACACACGCAGAACACTGCGCCCACATCACGGGACGCAGGCCAACAGCCCGTCCTCGCCAGAGCACAGAAGAAACGAGCGTGCCAAACACACACGTCAGACACGCAAAGGGAGGGATCTTGCACGCCATGGGGCTGCTTCTTTGAATCAAATAAATAAGTTAAAAAAAAAAAAAACAAACAGTCGAAATCATTCCCATATCCCTTTGAACCAGTGCTGAATTCTTCTTCTTTTAATTTCCCCATCACCCATGGTATACAAGAAACCCTCCCTTAAAAAACAGGAATAGTGTTAGAGGGAAAAAATATTCCAAACGCAAGGACATTACATAAGGGACAAACGCGGCCACCCGCGGTGGCGTCATACTCGAGGGAGGCACACTTGTCTCAGACAAGTGCAATTCTGCGGTGACGGCTCAAACGCTCCTTACCTAAAGGAGTGTGACAGCCCGTGCAGTCTGCGAGAAGCCAGGGTCAGCATTAAAACAGAAGGGACGTGCTGGTGAATCTAAGGATGAAATCGCCTACTTCTTAACGGTTGTGCAAGGTTTTAACCGGACTCTGAAGTGCTACACGATCGAGTCAGCTTGGACGGAAAGAGAGCACCTGAGAGGTGGGTATATCATCGTCGACAGGGCTCGAGAAGGCTACGCTTAGGACATCACGCTTAGAACGATGACGGCCCGTCCAGTCTAACCCACTGGTCGCCAAACTTGTTCGGCCCCCAAAATTCTGGTTGTAAAATCTACTTTCCCCACAGACGAAAAACATGAAGTCATGCAATCTGAGGGTTTTGTGTTTTAAGCACAAATCTTTCATGCCAAAAGAAACACAGCAAATTCACACGACGTCTGTCACTTTCGGCACGGTCCCAATCCACAGGTGGGGTGGGGGGGCACACGAAGGCACAGTGAAGCGGTTTCACCAAAATGGCCGGGAGAAATTCTACAGACTCATCCAAACGATAAACGCAAAATAAAAGGCAACAGCTCAAAATCAAGATCTGGGCCTAAGCAGGAAGGTAGACATGTTTGCAAATTAGCGACAATCAGTGCCCAAGTGAGCGGCATGGAGTCACGATGCGGTGTGAAACACACCGCCCAGAGGGGAAGGCAGGTCTCAGGCCCGGCGTGCCCTTCAGCACCCCTGAACTGGTCCCCAGTGAGACACAAGGCTCGGCCCACGACCACGAACTTGCAATCACGACAGACATACTTACCCTGGATGACCAGGAATGACTCCAAGGACAAAAGTTCACAACCAGAATTTTTCAACAATCTTAAACGTATTCATAAAACGATCTTTTTTGAATACTACGCCTAAAAGTTAGGTGGCTATGTCTGGAAGAACTGTGGCAACACTTCAGTCCCGGTTTGAAGGAACAGAATCCAGCATCACCCAGAACCAGAGTCAGGAGGCAAAGGCAGCCACAGCACATGGTAATTTGCCCCGGCTACTTCACTGAAAAGGAAAAGTGAGGACATACTTTACGTCTTCCAGCTTTTTGGTGATGACTGATCCCACGGACGCGAAAGCAGCTGAAGCCTTCTGTCCAGCCTGAGACAAGGTTTCAGACGTCTTCTTGTATCTATATTAAATTATGAAAACAGAGCGAAGAAAAGTAAGCTAGCCATTTTTTTTTTTTCTAGAACATTCTAAAACACTTTGCAACCATCAGCTCAGCATCACATCATCTTATCCTTAACCATCACTTCGGGCACAATCTTCTGTGGTGCTGGGTCAGCTGGAAAGAGACAGGCTGAGAAGGCAGGGCCAAATAAATCAAGGGAAGGGCTGAAAACAGACAGGGAGCAAAGAAAAATGAACCAGAGGCTGAAAGAAATGATACCCTGTCTTGCTGCCTGTTCCACCTGAGCCGAGCTACACAAAAATGAAATCAAATTCCTCACATGCCTCCTACAAGCTTATCTCCTAAAAAGGGGCCGGAGCAAGACTTCATTATCCAAATGAATTTATGAGCATAAAGAGTTTCCTTTTCAATCTTGCATGCCGGCACAATTACCAAAAAAAGACTTGTGGGCTCTCCGCAGAGGATGTGAAAGGTACGATACTTAAACTGAGTGTGAGGTCTGCTGTGACACAAAGCCATGATTTACCACCTCGCTCTTCTCATCTCCCCAGGGATGAGCGAACGGAAAAACAAAAACAACATGATAGGTTAAGAGCCTCACGTTCCATAAAGGAGTGCTCGGGCATGTTTACTCACCCTTTCAAGTTCGATATTAAAAACAGATACGGTTCATGGTGGTCCGGCCCAAGAACAGTTTCCCACATGTGTCCCCACTGCCTACTCATGTGGACCAAAGGGGAGGGCACCGTAGCCCTGTCACTCAAGGGCGCAGTCAGCCCCACCGCTGCTGGCCACCAGCTCGGCGGATGGGACTGAATGCACGACAGAGAACAGAGTTTGGAATCTGTTACCGGAAGCGTGCGGGAAACAAAAACGTATCACTTTTGACAATGCCACGTCAAAAGCTGTGTGACCAAAACGACAAGAAGATTAAGGGGTGAGCCTCTGCCACCGGCACGCACCAGAGATGGCAACCGAGCATCCTACGCTACGGACAGAGCCTGCTTCCACCTGCCGGGAGGTCTGGGACCCCGAAACTTATCCAGCCCTGTCCCTCCTCCAGGCTATGTCACACGCGCTCTGTCGGGTGACACGTGTACATATCTGGCCAGGCGATACGTAACATTTCGGGAACTTAAATTTTGTTTCTTCGACTCCTGGGAGGCTGCTTTTCGTTCCATTGCCCAGCACTGTCTAGAAGACAGAGAGGGGCAGATCCACTTGAGAACTGGGGCGGGGAGTCCCCCGTGTGCTACAAAGAAAAGTCGCAGAAGTGTCCTCATCCTCCTTCGATCCCATTCCCCGCCCCAGACAGGAAGAGCCCGAGCACCCTTCACACTCTGGAGGGACGTATGACCGAGGGCACGTACGCAGGCGTCGCGGTCACGTCCTGCCAGCCTCTGGCAATGTTCTGCTTCAGTTCCTGCAGCGAATTGATGCCGAGTTTGCGCTTGATCTCCGCTAGATGCTTCTCTTTAGCTGCCAACACCTGAGAGAGAGTCTGGATCTCTTCTTCTACCTGTGAGGGAGAGGATGGGTAAGAACACAGCAAGGTTGCCCGGTATTAGATTATGAGTGCCAAACTGCGCTCAACGTTCTAGTCATTTAAAAACAGTTATATTCCTTTACCTGTCTCTTTAAAACTAACATACATATGTTGTTAAGAAAACTGGTCACGTGCTGACGTCTCCCGCAAGCTCCTCTTTTCTCTGCTGTGTGTTTCCGTCTTGAGTGGTCCTCAGCCTTCTCTCCCGGCCCTACACATCCTTACACAGCTGTCTCATGGGGACGTACAGCTGGAAACTACACAGATAACACTCGAATTATTCTAACATGTCCTCTCCTGATCGCTGGTTCTCATTCCCAGCTGGACGTTTATTCCTGAAAGCTCGCAAAAAAACTCATATTTGTGTACCACATCAAACGAATCTCCATCCCCCATCAAACGTGCACAAAATCCGACCTTGCTGCATGCGTCCCATGAGTTTACACTGGAAATGTCAGTCCCAGTGCCTGCCCAGGACACGGCCGTCAGTAAATCAGACTGTCTCCCCCAGGGGCCGTGCAGAAGTCCCAAGTGGACCCCGATGCCGATGGGTCGGGGTGCCCGGAAGTGGGCCCCACCCACATCGAGTGGCCACGAGGGATGTGCCTGGTGTGGAAAGAGTCTCTTGACGGATCAGAGTCTTTTCCACTTGACGATCCAGCTTGAGAAAGCGTAATAGCGTTGGGAGGGGACGCTGGAAAGAGCTGGACAGAGAAGCCCTGAGGTGACAGCGTGCGATGCTGTGTGAGGCTGTAAATCACGCGAGGAGGCCGGGACGCAAGGCGGAAGCTCTGGAGAAAGGCGAATGCGTA